AATATGAGAATGAGATATTTTAATTCAACCAAAATAAATAGTACAATCATGATAACTAAAAATAAATCAAACGAAAAAATAACTTTCTGCTTATACAAAAAATAAATCTTTGCCCAATGTGTTTTTCATCATGTTGTTCTCCTTTTATATTTTTTTTTTGGGTGAGGATGTTTCCTTCAACTTATAAATTATACACTAAATAGAAATTCCTAATGTATTCAAGAATTGAGTAATGAAAGGTTTTTCCTTAAAGCTAATTTTAGTTAAAGTAGGCAAATATTCTAAACCACTTAGCAATTAAAATCATCTATAAATAGTTAGAGGACTTGAAATGTAACTCAAATACCTTTCCATGTCTACTTGAGCAACTTGGTCGAAAATTTGAATGAAATACTAACTGGGTGAAAGATATATTTCCTCTAAGAAATGAGGCATGAATGACATTTTAGAGAATTTGAAACATGGAAGAAGATTTCTAAGAAGGGCAGCATTCTGACCTTTTTAAAAAGTGTTAGTCAAACTAAATCTTGACAGCATAATTTTTGAGTCTACACACATGTAGTCTTAAGAAACTTTTTAACTGATCAAGTCTCAAAGATTTGATTCCATTGGTTGAGATTTTCAGCTTTATAAATAGCCCAATGGAAGAGTTTTGAAAAGGCTTCACTATAGTTGTTATGTTTCTCTATAAATGTTTTTCAAGTCATTAGTCACCCAAGACATCTAGTTTTCAAATCACCAACACAACAAGGAGAGTATCATTTTATGATAAAAACTAGATTAAATATTTCCCGACATTAATTACTTCTATCATGACATTGTTGATGATTACTTGTAATGATGATAAAAAGAGAGTAGTATTTCAATGGAAGAATACATGCAAGGTTACTTGTGCTGATAAATCTGTGAAATATACTATGTAAGGGATTTATCTATCCCTTAGAGTTCAGGCTTAAATCTCTAAATAAGAAGAAGATATTTGTGGGTGAGATAGCTTTCTGAAACCATTTGTATTGAAGAGTTTGTGAAGGCCTTGAGAAGCATTTATTGCTCGTTATTTTTTGGTGTTCAATGATGAATTTATCAAACTTTAATTCCTCAGAGGATGATGGCAAACCTTAAAGTGTTTAGTTAGAGATTTCTCATAAATTTTATCTCACTATCTTCCTCTTAGTCATTCTCTCTCTTGATTTGAGCAGAAATCCTCCCTTTTATCAATATAAGGTGAGATTGCTTGTGACATTTGCTGGATTGACTCGCTTTTGAAATTCTTGTAATTTTAGTCTCCTCCTCAATGAGATGTATCTCCTATGTATTAATTAAGGTCTCATGTCACTTGTCACATGCATGTTAGAGTATTTTTTTTGGTTGCCATTTAAACCTATTTCCTTAAAGAGATAACAACGTTAAATCTAGATGGCAGAATGTCACCAAGCATCACAATCTATGTCATTAGGAATCTGATTTTTATTTTATATCACTAGTTTTTTAATCCTCTAGGGTTTACAAGAACTAGATTGTGATAAGAAAATACCACATAATTTTTTCTCTTTTCTTACTAGACCTACTTCAGTCACAAGGTATCAAGTTTAATGCCACATCTTTATCATCCACTAAATCCGTAGAAAAATATATATTGGATTATGAGACATGAGTAGATTATTTCAATAGCCCAACAAACTCAAGATATTCTCTAGTAACATCTACCAGATTTAGAAATTTAGGGGGAAAAAAATAGAGTACTTGTTGATTCTAGATTCATTACTCTATGATGAAAAAAGGATTAGAACTATTTCCTTCTTGTTGATTCATTGCTCTAGATGGACAACATGTATTAACTACTGGCAGTCTCATCTAAGTTATGACTTTATATTAGAGGTTTTGTACTGATAAGTCTTCATTATCATGAGTTAATAATTAGTAAATAATATAGTTTTAGCCTTAACTCATGATAAATAGACTTATATTTGTGTTAAAGCATGAAAAGTGGTTTTCAGTTGATTAACGTGAATTTTTGGGTAATTATGTGATTTTATACGAATTTTACAGTCTTAGTTTTGAGATAAATGAAGAACAAGAAATAAAAATAAAAATATTGCAAAATGAGGGGATCCGCCGGCCAGCCGGGCCCGCAAGCGGGTCGGAAGTGCAGTCGGGGAGTAGCCGCGAGCAGGGGCTCGAGCGGCTTGCTTGGATCGATAGGGACACGTGTGCGCCACTCCCCTTCCACATCACCGGTGGTCAACCGGCCGTGGGGCAAGGAGTGGTCGTACACGCGAGAGGACTTTGCCTAGAAAGCTAACTTTACTATATATTCGCCCAAATAATCCGCACACAACCAATGTGGGACTAAATCCAGCTTGTAAGGGGCGGGCGATCGCCGCGGGTTCGAATCCTCCCAGAGTCAAAATTCATATATTTTTAACTGATTATCGCGACTTTCCTGCAGATCGCCGGTGAAGGATTAAGCAACCGGAATCGCTGGATCATCGGCGAAAATCTCGTCAACGCGATTCGCGGAGCATTGCTACTAAAATTTCTGAACGATTCGCGATAAAAGGATCGCAATCCATCGAGTAAATCATCTCCGATTGATCGACGAACAAGCCGTCGTCGGGAAGAGGACGATCCGCCGGGAGACCAGTCGCCACCTCCTGAGAGCGTACCAGATGCGATGAAGAGCCTCCTCTTGCTGCGCGGACCTGAGGATGAAGCTCCCTAACACGCGCCTCACCTCCATCCAGCCCCTCTCCGTCGGGTGACAGCCGCCGGAGAGCCGCAAAGTCGCCGTTTTTCCGCTCCGCCGGGTGACAGCCGCCGGAGACGATTCGACGACCCACTTCATTGGTCTCTAGACTTCGCGAGAAGATCTAGAGATTGCCCACGTCGTCTTTGTCCAAGGAGAGCCTTCGAGGCCGTGGACACTGCACGACGACCCTCCCGAACGCTCAGGATTCCGGTGCATCGCCGACGCGTCGCCGTCGCGACGCCGGAACTCTGTTTTCCTGCTTTATCTAGAGATTGCCCAAGTCGTCTTTGTCCAAGGAGAGCCTTCGAGGCCGTGGACACTGCACGACGATCCTCCCGAACGCTCAGGATTCCGGTGCATCGTCGACGCATCGCCGTCGCGACGCCGGAACTCTGTTTTCCTGCTTTCAATTTAATTTACGCTTCATTTAGTGATACTTTGTTGATTTTTATTTACCAAACTATACTTCGTTCAATTACGATTCTTCCGGCTTTTACAGATCTTAATTTGATTAATTGAGTCGTCTGTAATCGCCTACGTAAGAATCGCCGGGCGGAACTCTGTTTCCGCCTGATTCGCGTTCGCCGGGCGCTGACGTCATCCTGACGTCCGCACCCTTATTTCCTTTTTTTGTGAATTTTAAATATATTTCTTTTTTATTTCATAGTATAAAATTTGTAAGAAAATTGTACTCATTGAGAAAAATTCTGAATAATTACCAGATATTATATTACATCCCTGTGATCGACTTGGAAAATTACCACTATTTTTGGGATTTGTATTGAATTATAATTGATATATTTATTTTGAAATACTTCTAAATATCTGAAAATTCGTATTTTCTAGTTTTATAAATTTTATATTTGCGTGATTTAATATACAATGACTGAGTCACGTCATGTACAAATCACTCAAAACCCGAACTTGAATGAGTTACTTTTTGTTGTTGTTCAACTTTAACCTTCTTGGAGACTTGTTCCTATATTTTCATCATGGAGAAGCTGTTTGAAGCACTCTTTGTAATCTTAAAGTAGCTAAGGTTATGAAATACAAAAGATGATTAAAATAGTTTTATACAAACTCTTAGTAAAAGAGTATCATATAACTCATTCTAGATAGGTGTTAAGAATAGAAATAGTTTGATGCAATCTTCTTATGACTAATTCTTCATAGTTGCACAATGAGTTTATGCCCCAATTATTGACAGCAATTTTCACATAAAATTATTTGATTGAAGTTCATGTGGATATCATGATTGTTTTACCCTTGATTAAAATGCATAGTATGAGCATAGGTTGTAACTTGTTTTGGCCGTTAGTCAATTTCACTTTGAGTAAATGATTGTTTTCAAATGTTCAATTATCAATATTATCAATAAGCCTATACTATTTATGAGGTTATTAACATGCACTTGCATGAATGTGGTAATCATATCACAACTCAAGGTCTCAAAAATGTCTAGATTAAATAAAAGATATGCATCCTCTCTTCAAGATTCACAACATAAGAGGCCAAAAGAAAATAGCACCAGCTGATCTCAGTAAAGATTTTAGAAGGGCCTTAAGGGATAATAAACTCTTAACTGTTGACCGTAGAGCCTGCCATGGTTCTTGACGTTCAACTCCTTTAGAATCTTCAATCCTTTGTTTTCATTGTTTGAATAATCTTTGTTCAGATATTTATGTTGGTACAAATTTAATGGAGTCATAAATGTGAACTTTAACCGAGAAGCATTGAGCAATTAAGGACCTTTCAAGAAATGGAAATTGTGTAGACGTCCACGGGGTAGGCGGCGGTGTTGCAACGGCTAGATTACCCCTGCGCCACTGGAATGCCAGATTCGCGCCTTTTTTTAAATTCCACCCGTTGCCTCGGAGTATTGGCGGCAACACGTGATACAATGGTTCGGCTTTTAGAAACCCTCACTCCTTCCCGCAAGACTTTTCTTGCATCTCCGCTACGCTATATATAACCTCTACTCTGCCCACCGCCGCCATCGCCTACTCCCACACTTCTGTTCACTCTTTCTTTCTCTCTCTCTCTCTCTCTCTCTCTCGTTCTCTGCCCGCTCTCTTGGGCAGCTCCAGAGGCGTCCCATTGTTCCTTCTCCTTCGTTCGTATTGCGCCTCCGGCGGGGGACGGTGCTGGTTTACCTGCACCGACTCCGAGGAAGCGAGTGTCGGAGCACTTCGGCGATCGGCCGGAAGACGAAGAGAGTGGGGATTCTGAGCTGCCTTCTCCTGTTGGAAATATGCAGAGTGAACCGAGTTTCTGGGCACAACAGGGGCGCGGATTCCGCCGGTGAGTATCTCTTTCCATTCATCGACATGTCTCCGGGCCCTCTCCTTCTTCTTGCAATATTTTTCTTGACGCGTATCGATCTATCTTTCTATCCCCTTGGCCGACCTTTTTTTCTTCTTGCATTTGCCCTCCTCCCGTCCGAGCGGGCCTCTCGTTCCTCTCTCTATCTGTCTATTTCTCTTCCCATAGAAGAACAGAGGGGTCGTCTCCTAGAAAGACCTCTCCTCCTCGCTTCTTCCGTCGGACCCTAGGTCCTCGGGGCTCACGGTAGCCCTTTTCCGCTTCGTCGGGCGAGACGAAAAGAAGCTGTTTGAGAAACAGAGGATTTTCCCATTAGACAGAAAGAAGGGACAGCCGAATTGTGCCTCGCTCTTCTTACCCTCTGGGCTTCTTGAAATTCAATTCGAGCTTAGGAAGAATGGGAACATTCTTGCGGTGGTGTGCAGCACTTTCAGGGTTTGAGTCGCCCAAGTTGCTGCTTTGATTCTGTGTTCCCTCTTTGATCGACGGGGAAGATTGGATTTTTTTCAAAAAACTACCCGTCGTCAGGAAGGAGGAATGCGGTCCAGACACCATCCTTGTTCACAGATGGGAGGGTCTGAAAATCAGGCGACAGATGGGATGATCGTAAATAGGGTCATGCACTTTTCTTTTCTGTCCTCACACCTTTCAGCTGTCGATTCGATTCAGTGCTCTCCGTTTTCTTCTCTCCATTTTCTAGCCTGCATTGAAATGCCGCTAAGCGCTCTCCGTTTTCTTCTCTCTGCGCAGTGGTGCTCCGGGAATGGAATCGTCTTGGGGTTGGATGCATTCACGGATGGAGGAGAGCACGCTAATCGATGTAAGATCTCTCACACCGACATACTCTGATCCTCTTGCTGCTTCTGGATCACATAGACTGGCGGAGGGGATCTCACCGGGTTTCTGTGTTTCTTGTCTAAAACAGGACGTGCTGATTCTAAACGAATCGCCTCTCCTCGGAGGTCGTCGTCAAAGCACAATGAACGGTCGTTTTATGCGGAGTCCTCGCCAGGTAAAACGACCTTGCCCGCCGGATATGTCTGAGAGAGAGGGTGCAATATTCAATCATTTGCTTCCCTTCCGAGCGCTTCAGTCTGAACTGACTCGCCCTGTTTCTCTTGACAGCAGCGCGAAAGAAGCTCGTTGAATCCCGCGCGATGGAGAGGGAACATGTTGGTGGATGTAAGTTTTTTGATGACCTGAGCTGCTGTGTTCCTCCCAGCTCTGACCAGGAGCCGTGCAAGAAGCAGCCTCGCCTCCAAAATATGCTGACTTTGGTTCCCTTATTGACTCTGTATTCCCGTCTGCTCTAGGAGGTCGTTATACTGGACGATAGATCGGCAGCGCCTCGTGGAGCGGCGGACTTGATCCGGTGGCGCAGCCATCTTCTACCAGGCATGGGGCCGTCGGAAGGAGAGCAGCAGACCGCAGTGTTGAGCTCCGGGCTGAACGAGGAGATGGCCCTGTTGCTCTTGAGAACGAGAAGATATGTACCGTCCTCCACCGCCTACGCCAGCGATGAAACGTGCTGCATATGCCAGGTAAGTTAAGGGAGAAGACAGACGCTTGGTGGCGCCGGTAACCAGCCCAGCAGCTTCTCTGATGGCTCGATTTATGTCTTTGTGTCTGACAGGAGGATTACGACGAGGGTGAAGATGTCGGGATGCTGAGCTGCGGACACGGCTTCCATGCTGCCTGCGTTGGGAGATGGCTGACGCAGAGGAATGTCTGCCCGATCTGCAGGAGGACGGGCCTCCAGCCCGCTGTGTAAAGACCCCCATCTCCTTCACCTCATATGAACCACTTGTAATTATCTTCCATGTATTTGGGCGTTTCACGATGTAAGTCACCATGTCTAATTAATACACCTAATAATTGGCTTATTTACTCTGCGCAGTTTTCACATTATTGACCCAAATGTCTCAGTAATGCGGTAAGCCTTGGAATAGGAGGGTTTGAGGATTTAAGATGAAGCCAAGACGTGAAGTCAACCTTGAGGGCTCAAGAAGTGCACCATTGGAAGTTTTGTTAAGCGGCCTAACCACCAACTTTCAGCAGTGTGTTAAGGACATTTACCATGTTTTATGCTATCAAGACATCACGCCAACGGTGATTGGGATGTTAGCTTATTAGGGGCAGTATAGGAATCTGCTGTGACCAGCTCTTCCCTATAAATAGGAGGGTCCCACTGCCATGTTAGTGAGAGTTTAAGTGGGGAATACGGTGTTCTTTCTGCCTATTATTATTTTTCCTAGAAATAGTGTTTTCTAATTGTAGTTAGGCTTGCAAAAGTCTTTGGTGAGGGAGAAGGCCGCTTGGGAGATGAGTAGGCATTAAATGCGCTCGGGAGATGCAGTTATCTACTTTGCACATCACTCACATTATTGGCCCGAATGGTCAAAAATTTTAAAGCCTAGAGTAGAAGAGTATGAAGACCCAAGATGCATCCAAGACCTAGAGGGCTCTAAAAGCATAGAACAGGATTATTATAACTACTAAAGATTCTTTTTTCAGTTTGACTGTAATATATAATTTCTACTTATTTAAATCATAGAGCATGCTATAACAACATTGTTTTCTAATCATAGTAGAATTTATGTTCTCTAAATTTGTGAATTCAAGATTTTCCCAAATCAACCTTTTTGGACCAATGAATCTTAGATCTTGTCCACTGTGGATTTGAATATTCTATTTTCACTCTTCCTTATCTTTTTCCTGGTACAAAGTTCAATGTTCTAGATTTATCAGTTTGAATATTATTTGATTTTTGGTCATTCTTAGACAAAGAAGGTAAGGTTTGATTTGATCAACAGTTAATCTTTGACTTTGGCAATTATTTCTACGATATTTGATATTATCCTTCAAATAATAAATCTTATAATCTTCCTAGATCAGAAGGTAATTGACAATGACGTTGCAATATTTTGGTCCCTTGCTTACATTTACTTTAAAACAATGATCTTGTTCTTTGGTTCCACTAGTTTGACTGTCCACTAGTCACAATTTTACGATTAATATAATTAATTCCCAGAAAATCAATTATCTTTTAGATTCATTGCTCTTGGTGGTTATAAGTTAAATGTCGTGGAGTGATTAAAAAAATATTTAATCACAAATCTACCCACATAAAAATGATGAAATATTTCATTTTGAGTTGATTTTAAAAGAATGGGTTGATTTGGAGTGCTTGAATTTCAATGAAAATGGTGATAGTGGAGACATTATGATCTTCTTTTCCTAGGATGTTTGCTTAGTGTCAAAGGCATTGCCATGTGTTGCTTGGAATTAGCTCATCAACTCAATGTCTTCTTTCCATTTGACCACCAAAAACCTCTCAAATTCTCAAATAATTCTTTTTTATAAGGAACCAATGAACCTCTTAAAAATGTAAAGAGGTTAGAGGCAAACATTTAAACCTAACTTGTGGACTGATGTTGAATTTATAGAGTAATCTCATTCAAAACCTCCAATAATTTTTTTTGTCTTAAAACATTTAAAATTTAAATTTTCTTAAAAATTCAAATGGTTTTAAACTAACACAACATAACCTTTGAGAGTTTAGATATCCTCTATGAGCACAAACTATATATTTGAAGTTTATTGATTTGACTAAGTCATGTAAGGATCTGTTACTATCAAAATAAAATTGATAATATATCTCAAGGTCACGTATTAATTTTTGAATCAAAACTTGTCAAAATTACCTCAAGCAAATCATGCAAAAAATAATATGTACGACAAATTATACTAGCAAACACACTGAATCTTTATCTTAATATGTTAAATAAAAATTTAAGCAGTAAAAAGCATTTAAAATTATTTTCCAAATTATATTTATTAATATTCATAAAGTCTTCAGCAACCATATTAATAGTTCATATTCAATCAAATAATTTGAGATTAAAAATATTAAAGCTAAGGATTTATTAACATGGTATCTAGTTTCTTGAGTTAACTTTCATACCCATATTTGACCTCATTAATTTTTCTTTATTTTGTAAGGCTAATTATTACTTTTAAGTAATAATTTTTTACATATTGGTAATTTAATTTGGTGAAATTCATCAAGTTCTAGAATTCAATATTATGGGATTCCAATTTCAATATTTTTTATTTTTCATATGAGATTTTTCTTAATATACATTTAATTCATTTCATGTTGGATAATAGAATCTATATGTAGATCAATTTCATGATTAGTAAGCATAATTCAATCTTTTAATTCATCTTATACTTGTCACGAATCAGTGCAGTAGTGAGAGCTTTTTCTCTTTGCTTACAGCCTTGGCCCCTTGGGTTAAAAAGGTCATATAATAGTCTTAACAATGTTAGATCCCATTTTTGTATTTTGAATCTACAAAATTCATGTTGACCTTATAAAGTCAATATCAATTTAGTACCTTGATAATTTCGTTGAACTTTGCTGCATTTGACTCCTCAATGGCTGTATTAGTAAATAATTTCATATAGAAAATCCAAACATTAGCGCTCACACATAGGATACTGAAAAAGTTAACTCTTATTTCGACTTCTGATTGTTTTTTTGATTTTGAATATTTCTTTCCCTGACATGAATTGAAATGATACAAAAACATTCTATGGTCAAGATCGTCAAATGAACTTTCCTCATTGAGTGGAGATACGAAAATGCCCTTCAAGATATGTGTTCCTTATTGAGGCTGTTTAATCTTGTACAGAACATCACTTTTGAATCAATTTCATGTTCCATTTCCAGTTTTATAACTTTAGGTTGAGTGATTTTATGTAATGCTTACATCCATAATTCATCAAAACCTTATTGAGTCAATTCACAATTCAATAAGCACACTGGTAAATAATAAAGCTACTTTATATAGAGGACTGAAAGATTATATAGAAATGAGAGATCTTGTAGTGATTCGTGTTAGTAATAGAATACTGATTTAATTTATCGTCAGTTCTCATGCATACATTCAGATGCCATTTGTAGGCGCATAGAGGCAAAACTAATTGTGAAAGAAATACATCATAGATTAGGGCAAAGCAAAGTGAATAATAATTCTCCAGTAGGTAATTATTCAGAATGAATGAGTATTTATTTATGCGTCAGCTGTCTGGATTATTTTTAAGTTCATTGATTGGTGCAAACTTTTTTTTCTATCGCAAGAAAACAATTCTGATGTTCTGTGTTTGTTATCACCTGATATAGCAAGATTCACTAATTGACATCACCAGGACCCGTTCATAAACCAGTGTACAGTGTTGGTTGAATGTTCTTGATATAATATTAATTTTTATATTTTTATTAAATATCTAAGCACAGAAACTGATTCATCATTCCTTTTATGCAAAAAAGTTCAAAGCATTTTCGGAACCGTGTTGTTTAAAACGTTCCAAGCATCAGGCAAATAATGGTGCTGTTAACATGTGAGCCTATCTTGCGGAATTTACAAAACTACTTGTGCATATTTCCTGTTACCTCCTTAGGGTTTCTGGGATTATCTACCTGAAATAGGTCACGTTTGGTTGCGTGATGTAGTTGCTTTATGTTGGCAATCAGGTTAGGTATAGTATGGCATTAACATAAAAAATGATGATCATGTACCAATTGACACAAATAGAACCATGGCAATATAGACGTCATATGATGGTAGAAATGATTGTCCACCTTGAAACTTCATGTAACCATTTGATTTATAAGAGCGCTGAAAAATTAGAATCAATGAGAGTGCAAATTGAAATTCCGATCAAAATTGGAGAACCTGATTTCTATGGAGTAAAATTTTCTTGCTTTTCTAATCTCAATCCTTTTTCAATAAAAATATCAATTACGTGTTCTAAATAGTGGTTGACATAAAAGAAATTACCGTACTATGTACAATTTTCAGTGGTTCGATAATTTCCATTGTCCTAGCTAGAAAATATTTTTGGAACAGAGCAGCACTAACTTAGGATAATTAAAAGTTAGCTGGTGTAAAATTGAACATATGCCAATAGATAAACTTGTCCATGGATTTGATAATCACGCTCAACATGTCACTTTTATCAACTCAATTGCAGGAGTAACGATACATGCGTTTTTACTGTGTAGGACACATATCATCGTTGTATTTATTACGCTGTAATGCCCAGTCTGATTTGAAGTCATATTTTATGGAAAGTATCAAGAAAACACGCAGGCTATAACTTGCTATTTTGGTTTATCTTCTATCCATGTTATATCCCGTAAAATGCAGACGCACAATACTCTCCTTCGTGATCACCAAGAAAATAACGCAGAACAATGTTACTACTTGACGTACTGGATTATTTTCACGTGAGATTGGTGAAATTATTTTCACTACCCATTTTTGTCTGATCCCAGTATCTGTTTCGATCCTTCCATCAAGGAAAATAATAGTGACAAGGGACCGCCAGACGGGTTACATAAACTGCGGATATCTGATAATTGAAGATACGCAGTGATTGTTACACATTTGACCAGACACTAAACACAATGTGAGAAAGACAGATCGAGATGACAGATTTATTACATAAAAAACCGCAGATGGGTTTTACGCTGAGGTCAACACGGAGGTCGGTAACGTAGATGATTGATTTGACAAGTAGCTAAATTATAGCAGGAAGAAAGAGCAGACGCAAATATTATGTTTATTATTTTGAGCCCTGTGATATCGTAATTATTTCTTATCGAGGAAAATGCAGCGCAAGTTGTCTTTAATACAAACAAGTTTCGTTGGTTCTCAGGTCAACCTTCTTCCGCGTTGTGGTTGGTATGCAACAGTTATCTTGACCCATCCCGTCTTCACTCTCCTCAGAGATATGCCCATAGTGGTCAGTTTGACGGAATCCCGTGACGGAGTTTATCCCCACCAACTTCGGGAGAACGCGGCTTTAAAGAATTTTCTTCTGCCTCAGGACTGCGATTCCTTAAAGAAGAGATAACTCATCTTCTCGTTCACAGCCAGTTTGGGTATCATCCTCTTACAATAATGCCGACAACGAACGTTTTGCTCCGGAAAGGTAGATGAACGGGCCCCGGTCTTGTCCAGAAAGTACAACATCAGAAGTTACAGCTGCATTTACCATCACAATTAAAGTTTCGTAATTGTCAGGATTATTGAATTTTATGTTCTCAGGAGTAAACTTCTTTCTTAATTGACGTCCAGAATCATCTCTCAACTAATCAGGGAGAATCAAAAAACCAACGCAGGGAAAGAGTTGAACTAATTACACCTACCCGATAATAACGAAGCAGAATTAACGGAGCAAAAAAATTACAGAAACGAGTCTTGCTTACACTAATGAAAAATGGACATACTCTCTTCATTTTTACAAAATCATAAAATTTATTAGAAATATTTCATAAATTAAGTATAGTATTTATTGGGCGTTCCTTTATCTGTAAGTAGAAGATCCCGTTGTTTCAACTTATGCCTAAATATTTCCCTCAGACATGCTGTACTGGCTGCGAAGGCAGACCACAGACATTTATATGATCGCTCGTTCATGCGCAAGGCAGACCTCAGACATGCTGTACTGGCTGCGAAGACAATTGCTGATTTTACAAGCAAGAGAATAATTTCCTTCGGGATTCTCCAACCTGCAGCGGTTTTATGATTGCTATTAGAATATAACTATACATATCAGAGAGAGAATTTCTTGAAAACTGTTATGTCCCTTTTGCTTTGTTGTGAAGATAGGGGTGAGGATTCACACTTATCAGGACGGTATGAACTCTCACAGTTTAATCAGTGTTTCCTTTGTCCCATGTCAACCTTTCCAAATTTCAAATCTTCGTCTTTATGAACCAAGTGAATGGACCCATTCTCATTTGGCATCATTTTCCGGTTTCAACCTTTCGTTTTCTTTCTCTCGAAGAGTTACCCATTCCTGTTGACGAACATCCATTGACTATTGTATTTCCTCATTAAACTACATGCATTTCACTATTATCCTAAGTCAGGGTTCCAAAAAATTGAGTGCGAAGATGGTTTTCAACCAGTTGTGGATGCTATATATATTGGACGAAGTGCAGAGGGTTTTATTCATCTTTTGAGAGCGATTTAAGAGGAAGAGGGAGAACATATCACGAGGCAGATGATCCATGCAATTTTTCTCTCCATTCTGTTACTGTTGCCTACGACTGCCTACGCAGCCCAGACTCTAACGAGAATGAAGACACCGTACCAGGGCTCTGCGTTACCATTGGGACGTTCACTATTACAAGGTAAGCCCATGCACCCTCCGTCTTCGCATGTTCACCCACCAGGGACACCACAGCCGTGCTGCCCCTAGGACGGATATCCTGAATGGACGTTTGTAGCTGGCTTGCTCAGTTCCCTTTTATTTTTATTCTCTCCCTATTCTCGCTCTTTCTCTGTGTTCCTCCACCAGTCGCTTGTCTGTCGGTGAACTAGAAATAAAAGTAAACCAACCAAGCGATTTCATTTGTCAGTGCATGATAAAAATTGGATAGATATAAAGGTATATGGAAAGAGAATATTTTAGTACACAATCGAGAATCTTTTTGGACCTGTTACTGATGCTCAAAAATACGTTCGTTTCGTTGTTTAGATTGGGCATGTACCAAATTTCGAAAACCTAACTATGCCAAACCTGTAAGGACTTTAGGTAGTTCACGTTCCGACTCCAAGAGATGGATTAGAATAGGGATGACGATATTGGGCTATTCCGAACAGAGGGCTGAAATGGTAGGACAGTTTTTCTCAAGTTTTAATTGTTTACCATTCAAATCTTTTCCTCAATGTCAAAGATTATTGGACTCTTCAGTTCCCCCTCGAATTTCCTGATCCCGCGGACTCAGTTAACCTTGGCAGTTGAACCTCGTTACGATATTGAATTCCTAGTCATCAAAATTCAAGAAACATGACACCGGTGCCGGTCTTACCCCGCTGCTACGTGCGGGAGAGACACGGTACCATCCCTAGACCATCCAACCACAAGTTGGAGAGAGATACAGCTCGTGGTGCCGCAAAAATAACCCCGGACGCCCAAACTGTCATCGTGACAAATTATCGGTGACCTCTAAATGCCTTCGTGGGGCTCTCTGTAGCTAAACTAAAGCGGATTCAATGACCTAACCGAGTAATTCGTGATCTAATAGCTTCAGTGACGCCTTTCGTAAATCTCTGTGGGTGCATGTCTCTCCTCTTGCGCCCCATCGATTACACCTGCGGGAATGCAGATGACTAAAAAAATAATTTTGCCTTTTCTATAGACTGGAGGACTGTATGTAATGGGAGATCTTGTTGAAATTGGCCTCCGAAGGGAATGCTAATTTAATTTACCTTCGGTCTGACGCACAGAGGCCGAACTAATTTTTAAGGAAATACATCAGAGGTTATGGCAAAGCAAAATACATAATAATTCCACAACAGGTTATTATTCAGCAGCGAATAATATTAATTTATGCTTCATCTGTCTTAACTGTAGTTCAAGTTCATTGCTTCATTCGTATAGTCTTTTATCAAATGCAAGAAAATAATCACCTGACATAGGAGGATTCACTTGTTTGCATCACCAGAACTAATTCATAGGTCAGCGCACAAAGTTGGCTGAATGTCCATAAAATATTTAATTTCCATATTAACAAACGTCTAAGGACGCATAAATGATTCATCATAACTTTTATAAAAAAAAATTCGGAACTATGATGTTTAAAACCTTTGAAGCATCAGAGATGTAATGGTGTTCTCAACATGTAAACCTGCCTTGTAGAATTTAGGAGATCATTGGTGCATATTTTCATTTATATCCTGAATTTCCAAAAAGTAAATTTCAAGAAACCAAAATCAAGTATCCTCAAGAGTACGGCTCTCAGTATAGTATTCCGATGATTTATCGCAAGGACTGCGTTAGATGGAAGGTTAGAGCTTCTTTTGGTAAGTGACGTTGGTTCAGACACATTAAGTTTTGTTTATTGTTAATGGAAGATCCATCCGGCCTCTTGATTTTCGAGGGTCAACCTTACTCCATGTCAAAGGTTATTGGACTAGGCAATTACTGCCTTTAATTTCCTGGTCCCGGGGACTCGGTCTTCCTTGACCACTCAACCTTGCTACGAAATCAAACCCCAGATCGTCTAAATGAATGAGACAGGCTGAGGTGCCTGATGTACCCCATCAGGCACTACCCAAGTACACCGGTGTTCGTGGCTCTCAGAGATGTCTTTTTTAAAACTGTGCGTCTCTCTCTTTCGCTTGGTAATTGCTTTTGGTCTCCATTGATTACGTCTAACAAAAAGATCTCTAATAGATGAAGTTTGATCATGTTGTTGACTTGAAGGCCCTATATGATGACGAACATTGTAATTTCTCTTAGTGGATTTGAGATTTACTTTCACTTTTAGTTGAAGCGACACATTTAGACGCCAATTGTGGTCTCAGAGAGTCAGAACTAACTGCCAAGGAAATTCATGACACGTTATGACAGAGCAAAGCAAATAAAAACGATAAACAGATACTTTATGAGCAGTGAATAATATTTACTCATCCTCCAATTGTCTGAATAGTTTTTTATTTCATTAATTTTAGATAATAGGCTTTTATCAAATCCAAGATAATAATCATAATGTACATCATCTATTATTAACTTAAGGAGACGGGTCACTATTTCCATAACCAGATTTCATTCATAAGTCAGAGTAGAAGTCTAATTGAAAGTAGAATGTCTAGTATGCAAAGCATTTTTGAAACTATGATGTTTGAAAACGTGTGAAGTGTTAAAGATAAATGTTCCCAGTCTGAACTATCTTGCTGAATTCAGGAAAGGTACTTACGGTTTCTTGAATTATTTATTTGAAATATTTCATCAGGAAAGCATTTTTGTGAGATGCAGTATGTATATTTACCCAATCAGCTTAGAACTATAATGGTTATAATTATTCATCATGATCATATACCAATTGCCAAAGTATAAATACACCGTCAACTTGTATCAAATGCAATTTAATTTTGGAGGTCAAAATTTTTCAAAAGTGCCTTTTATTTATTTCTCTTATTTCAGTCCTTTTTGACTCAAATATCAAACTCATGTTTTGAGCAGAAGTCACTGAGGCCTCAGTATTTTAAACAAATATTTGAATGGCTGCAAAAGTTTCAGGATCTTCCCCTATAACGTTTCTGGATATAAAAATATTGGGGACTGAACAAAGGAGAACTCACTTCTTTCTTCTGGATTCACAAATAATTGAAACTAAACCTATAAGACTAACTTCACTCTTATAGATTCAATTCTAGATGACCAATATACATTAGCTTCTACTAATCTCATATATGTATATAGTATACAATGCCTTAAGTCAAAGTACATGAACAACTAAACTCTAAATTAAAACTAGAATGAGTCATAATTTGTAAGTGTCCAGCCCTAATCATATGAAAGGCTTCTTTATGTATAATTTTCATTAGAGAGGCCTGTGTAACAGAGCGTTTGATATTTTAAAGTAGCTAAGTGTGGAGTTCAGATTTGCAATAGTTTGGTGCAAACTCCATGAAAGGAATGTGTTCAATGAAGCTACCTCTAGATTTAGGTAAAATGGCAATCTCGTTTTTGTCCTGACACTCTTTTCTCTGGATGAGTAGAGGTTTCTCTATATATAGATACCTAATCAGGCTACATTTGATTTTCATAAGAATGGGACATGATTTGTTAACATGTCAAATCCTATACATGCAATTTGAACAATAAAAAGTTTGTCATAACTGTCAAATCTATAAAATTCAATGCTTTCAAATTAATTGAATAATTTGTTGAATCATATTTCACTTTTATAGATGGTGTTCTGATGAGTTCATGCCTCAACTTATGACAGCAATGTCCAGAAAGTCATTAAATTTTATTGCAATCATACATGATTGTTTTGATCTTCAGTGAAATTTGTAATACTTATAAGTATAGGTTGTGATTTCTTTCACCATTAGTAAATTTCTCTTTAAGTAGGCAAACATCATAACATACCCCGTAATAAATATTTTCTATACAAAATTGTACCACTTATGAAGTTACTCACATACCCTTCCATGGATGTTGTCATACTCTCCAAAACCTTTCGAATGAGCATAAAAGACTCACTCCTCTCTTCAAGATTCACAACCTGAGAGGGCAAGACAGTTGGCACCGACTAATATAATCAAAATTATGGCATTTGATGAACCTTAAGTGCTAATGTACTGCAACTTTTATGAGTAGAATGCAAAATTATTTGGGACATTCGGTTCCTTACTTCTTGCAGATTTTGATCCTTTGTTTTCCTTTTCTGGATAATTTTCCTTAAGATATTCCAAAAAAAAAATTTCAATGACTACGAAAAATTCAGGATTTTCCCTTATAACCTTTACTAGAAAAAAAATATAGGTGGGCTGATCAAAGGATAACTCACTTCTTTCTTCTAGATTCACACTGAATGAAATTAAACCTATAAGACCAACTTGACTCTTATCAATTCAACACTAAATGGGTGACACATTAGCTTCTACTTGTCTTATGCACATATAAAAACCTAAGTTAGTGAACATCTAAACTCTAAATGAAAAGTATAATGAGTCAGCATTGTAGGTGTTCAGCTCTAATCATCTTAGAAGCTTCTTCCTCTATTTTCGTAATTAGAGAAGCTTATGTAAATGAGTGTTAGTAAAATAGAAAAGTTGACGAACCATTAAGGTCAGCTTTTCAGAGTTGCAATACTATGGTGAAAACTCCCTGCAGATCACTCATGATTTAGGTAAAATGTCACTCTTGTTCTTCCCTTTACTTTCTTCTACTTTGGATGAGCAGAGGTTTCTCCATATATAGATATACCTAATTGGGCAACTTTTGACTTGAACAATAATGGGACATGATTGGTCAACATGTCAAATCCTATGCTTGCAATTTCAACTGTAGAAAGGTCTGCTATAATTGTAAAATCTAGAAAAAACCAAGACTTTCGAATTTACATATTAAATATCCAGTACCATAACTTAGGTATAGGTCTTAACCCTTCGTTTTCCTTGCTTGGATAATCTTTGTTTAGATATTCATCTTGGTATAAGCTGACTTGAGAACCACAACAGAGCGTGTAGAAGGTGAATTTTAACCCCACAGCATGGAACAATTAGGTGTAGCATTTCAAGAAAAGGAAATTGTGTATTTGAACCTGCACCACTGGATTATCAAATTCGTGCCCTTTTTGGAATATCTGCCAGCTGTGGCAGATACGCAACGTGTCTGG